TGTTATGGTATATATGATCAAATGCGCATCACAAAACATAATTACACTAAAATTATTCTATGCTGAATGGTTACTAACTAAAAATATAAAGAAGATTATATAGATTATATGTTACATGAAGTATTTACATTAAAGGCTTCTTCAAAATAATAAGTCTTAACTAATTTCTTGAAAATACTAAAGTTATGCAGATTTCTAATATACATAGGTAATTCAATAAGAAAGCTTGGGAATGATAGGGTACAGCTATCTGAAAAACACAAGGAAAACTTGAAGTTCTCCTCATATTCTTCAGGCAGTGGCATGCCTATATCAATCTGAAGCTTACCTCTGTACAAGCAACAGCGTATATAACAGCCCAAAAACAGAAGAACATAACGCACTAACCTTTCATAAACAGCACAGCGTCAAAACTTCAATACTTCTCGTCCATGTGCTTGTGTGAACGGCGGGAACGATGGAGCTACAAGTAAACCACAATATTAATGCATTATACGCACATGCCATATACGAACAACACTGACACTTGAGGTCCTTCAAATACTTGACGAATCCGACAATGAAGAGAATTTCTTTGAGAAAAATAAGATTGATGTTTTACATAAGGTGGCTGGATATAGGTGGCCGCACGTTTGTTACACACGTAAGAACGCACAAGTTGTTACAAATATGCAAACAAGTTGCTACAGAACTGTTCACCAGCTGTCGACAAGTTGTGTTCGCACTGCTTGTTCCCAGTTGTTGTAACAAGTTTGGAACAAGCTGTTAACAACTTGTAACAAGCTTGATGGCAATATCAGACTTGTTACAAGGTTGTTCTAACAAGTCTGATACAGTCATGATATAACAAGAATGTTACAAGGTTGTTCTAACAAGTCTGATACAGTCATGATATAACAAGAATGCCACAAGGTTGTTCTAACAAGTCTGATACAGTCATGATATAACAAGAATGTTACAAGGTTGTTCTAACAAGTCTGATATAGTCATGATATAACAAAAATGTTACAGGGTTGTTCTAACAAGTCTGATACAGTCATGATATAGCAAGAATGTTACAATTAGGTTGACGACACAAGGTTGTAATAATATTGTTATATCATGACTGCATGTATCGGAATTGTTGGAACAACCTTGCAACAAGTCTGATGATATCAACAAGATCTTTACAAGTTGTTAACAGCTTGTTCTAAACTTGTTGACAACTTGGGACAAGCAGTGCGAACACATTTTGTTGGCAGACTTGCTACAAGATGTAATACTTTTGTGTGTGTATAACTCGTGCGTTTTCACATGTGTATTGGTCGCTACAGTTCGGTGAATGAAACAACAGGATTTTGTCATCTCACAAATATGATACAACACTTGTATGAGAGAAATATCTCAAAGAAGCAAGTTCACCCGGCAAAAGAGCTTCTTCGTCATTCAAGTGCTCTTTGTAGTTACCGAACGCGTTGGCGCGAGAATTATTTTCACAATGCTACGAATGCAGACGCGTGGTAAAAGTACTAAATGTTCCTAGGATTCTGAAACTGCATTGTATAAATACTTGACTGTATTTCTGGTAATGCTCCTCAATCTTCTCGCTAACTCAAGCCAATTGCTCTTCAGGATCCCGATATTGAAACAAATCTTCCTCAGAACCCAAAAACTCAGTGCCATTTCAGAGACTTCATATTTCAAAATTTTGCGGGGAAGCATGCCCCCGAACTCACATAGACTTGGTTACTCCCCCCTCCCCCCACCCACAACCAAATCAATGTTCCCTGCCTATAAAGATATACGTTGTATATTCACTGTATTAGGTAAAGTGGCTACTCAAGAATTTCAAACAAATATATAGCGTGGGAAACTCCCGACAACAATTACAAACGATATTTCTGGAAGCTATTCAAAATTTTCTTGCACCAAATTTGTCCATGGTATAACTACATGGTACTTGTGTTTCCGCCACTTGCCGCCATTTTGAAATTTTCCCACCTGGGAAATCTTTCTCAGGCATTTGTCCAGCCGATGATTAGCCTGCATTGCAGACGGTCTGCCCGCCGCGGAACGCCTGCCTCGCCCGCCTTTCGGGTGTCCCTCGACGCAAGTAGACCAGCAACGCAGGCTAGATGATAACTGTCGAAGGTATTTCATTCGTAAAAAATCTACGGGACTTTCCGAATTTTGAAAATCGCCGGATTTTCTGTGCATTGATTTCAAATTGAGCAAAAAGAGTTGAAAGATATTTTGCCTCCCACAGCTATTTCATTTTTGGCACAGAATTTAATTTTTGCCATTGTATTTTAATTAAAACTGCATTGTTCTTAACTCAAGATCATCGATGCGTTTGTTTCTACTGTTATTAATGTCATTAAATATTGTTTTCAACAATCATTGCTGATTAAGTAGAAAATTCGCCATTCACTATTTACATCATGTATGCAGCATTAATCTAATTGTCAAATTTTATATATCTACTGATTTTGAGCTGATCGTCATAACCAACACCCAGTGAGCTCTCTATATATCTGGAGCGCGATCTTCAGTCATTCGGCCATTGAAAAAAATGAAGCCAAGATGGCGCCCATTGACGTCCAATAGCTCTGAAGGTCATAAACAGTTTTTATATCATTTTCCCCAGCTAATCCCAGTGTTTTCTAACGGACCGTATTGGTAACCAAGTTACCAGTTCATAAAACCATAGTGTTATTCTTTAAATCCATGTCAGAATACGAAATTTCAGCACACTTCACGCCAGCTCCATGTTAGCCGCGCAGACAAAAACAATAGAAAGAGACTGGCACTGGACGTCAATTTCCCGCCATTTTCGTAATTCACTTTTTCACCCGAGTTCTTACTCCAGATATACATAGGGCTCAGTGGTTTTGGGGTGATCTGGTTACCACAAACACTGCCTCCCCTTGTATCTACGACTGAAATTCTCACTCCAGGCACAGAATACTACATAGAAGTCCATCTCCATTGTTTTTTGCGTAAGCGCTATTCGTCATGATTCGTCACTAAGCAAGTAACGTAAACAGAAGCAGTCACCCCCCTGGACATGTGTCATTTTGAATACTTCCAGGGGGGGGGAATGCTTCTGTTTACGGTACTTGCCGAGTGACGAATCATGACGAATAGCGCTTACCAAAAAAAACAATGGAGATGGACTTCTGTGAACTGAACTATATAACATGGAAGTCCGACTCGGGCTCAAAAAGTGAAGCCAACATGGCGGAATTTGAAGGCATTCTTGCGCGTCATTCTCAGTCCCCTTACGTGCGCGGTCAACAAAACTTTTATATTTTTCTTTACGAAGTGACTATATGACCGGCAGCCGGTCACGGTTTATCAAATACTAAATGGCCGGCAGTCTAGTGACTATTGTTAAAGTTGAATTTTTATAATATAAACCTATCCCCAACCCCAAACCCTTTTCTAACCCTAACCCCTAACCCTAACCTTTTGAGAGTTAGAAAAGTCGGAAAAAGTTTGAAAAATTTTAAGAAAAAACAATGCTAAGTCAGACAAAACACATCCTGACCCCGACTGCGTTTAACTTTTCGCACGCAGCGCCCTTGCCGTATGAGCTAACGGCAAGCTCGGTAAAAGTTAACGCAAACAAAAGTTTTTATATTCAACTATAGCACAGAATAGGAAGTTATACCAGAAGCGTAACTCTAGTCGTTTCCCTTATTGTTTGACGTCCACGAAAATTTTAACTCGCTCACATCAGGCCACGCCATCCTGGCTAGTACAGCCGGAAGTTTTTATCAGGATTTGGTAGGTACAAAGTGCCGGTTGTACTAGCCAGGATGGCGTGATTGATGACGAATCGCTTGTAAAAACGTGGACAAATATTTGCTCGAGTTACGCTTCTGGTATAACTTCCTATTCTGTGACTATAGTCACTAGACTGCCGGCCATTTAGCATTTGATAAACCGTGACCGGCTGCCGGTCATATAGTCACTTCGTTTTCTTTACTTTCCGAGTAAAAATCTGGTGAAAAACAGACGAAATTTGAATGAAAAGTTGAATTCTGGTATTTTGTTTGGGTTCGGTTATAAATTTTAATTATTATTTGTTTAGGAGATGTGATATTTGAGTGGAAAGAAAGCAAAATAGCGCGGGATTGCTGTTTTTGTAAAATGACAAGGAGTGACAAAACAAAACACAAAGTCACTCAATCTTTCAAAATATCTCTATTGCCCCTATCGACAAGAGTTTCACACACATGAATAACTCATTAAAATGAACAGTTTAAGTTTATAAGGCAAACATCAAAGTGATTTTATTGAATAGAAAATAAAAAAACAAAATTTTCTTACATGTATGGAATTAAATTGGCTAAAAACTGCCTCGAAAACTGCAGTTAAAAAGCAGTTTTAGGTCAGGAAAACCGACTAAAATAAGCTAAATAATGGTGTGAAAACTGAAAAGCACCATAGAAACAAGAAAACGAAACAACCAAAGCAAAAATAAATTGCCAATTTATAAAAATACAGATTTTATATAAAAAAAAACAAAAAAGTTTGAAATTAGTTGTTGAAATCGCAACGAAAAATACAGATTTACTCACACATACAGTGGGAAAATGCGGCAGACAGATCGATTAGATGAAGGAAATCAGGTTTACATGAAATAAATAAAGTTTATTTCCTTTTTTGCTCTTCTAAAATGAAGAAAAACACAACCTGAGAGTCGCGGACCCATCACTTCCCGCCATGAAAATACAAAAATTGTTTGGCCGCGCGGGTAGGGGACTGAGAATGACGCGCAAGAATGGCTTCAAAATCCGCCATCTTTGGCTTCACTTTTTGATTACGTCAATGACTGAAGTCAGCCTTCCATGTATATAGTTCACTGCTTCTGTGTAGTATTCTGTGCTCCAGGTATACAGAGCTCAGTAGTTTTGATGTGATCTGGTTACCACAAACACTGCTTCTCCTTGTATCTAGGACTGAAATTCTCACTCCAGGTATAGAGAGCTCACTGGTCTATACTTATCTGAGTGTCACATGGGTATATCACTGGTCAACATCATAGTTTGATTCAGATGTGATAATGTTACCACACCAGGTCCTTGTTCCCAGGGCTCCCCGTCAATCTGCATTGGCAATTGTCGCTTCTCTTTTACTCTGATCTGCAAAATTTGTTTCAGGATCAATAATTTGCAACAGTGTGTTGTTGTCCCTGGGGCCTTGTCCCTTGTGTAACTGAGGCATAAGGGGTTGTTTATATGGTCTCGCTTACCCGGGATTCAATGAAGTGTGACGTATTTTGAGCAATTGAAATAAGTCGCACTTCATGACCTAACAAAATTGCTTGTTACAAATTGTACGAAATTCCATGTTTTAGACAAAAAACCAGATGTTGTTGAATGCTAATAATCGTCTTCTTCCACTACATAACTTCTAGCGCGTTCCTAATCTCGTTTAAACAATATTGAAAGTTATCTAACTTTTGTTTAGGGATAAAAAACGTATTTCAGTTGCTCAAAATACTTCACACTTCATTGAATCCCGGGTAAGCGAGACCATATAAACAGTCCCTAAATAAACCAAGACTTATCGACGTACCTATCGCGATATATTGAATTACATAAATGGCACTATTTTGTGAACCCACCCTTCTGGAAGTACGTCACTTTCGCTACAGAGCCTCGCTTTCGTGTATATGACATTAGTTAATAAAGCTCAATGTCTCAAACGAGGCAACGTGACGTACTTTCTGTATTGTTCGTTTCCAATTTCAAAACAGCCAATACCTTGACTTCATGTGCTTGTCCAAGTAACAGCGGATCCGCGAGATTCACCTGCATTCTTGCAATATGAAACGACGAGTATAGACCACAGACTTCCAGTTTCCCATCGCTGAAACTAAGTCGAAAAATTACTGTGGAAAACGTACAAGCATAATAACTCAAGCCTCGGTCAAACGAGGATGCGAGTTGATGAGAGTTGTAACTTTTGCTCACGTTTCACCGCCAACTCTCGTCGACTTTGAACTGCTTCAAATTTTGAAGAGAGTTTTCGCTACGCGCGGGTTAATATCCAGTCAACTCTCATCAATTCTTGTTCTCGTTTGACCGGGACATGAGAGTTGAGAAAACTCTCATGCAAACTCTCGCTTCTCAACTCTCATCAACTCTCATGCAACTCTTGTTCTCGTTTGACCGGGACATGAGAGTTAAGAAAACTCTCATGCAAACTCTCGCTTCTCAACTCGCATTCTTGTTTGAGCCAATTGCTGACTGCAATCCAGAGAAAGGGCCTTCGCTCGAAACGTCAAAATTCTCTTTATATTATTCACGAAAGCTTGTACATACCCCCCTAAACTTTTCATATTATCACTGCAAGAAGCTTACCTTACAGGGGGGAGATCCTCATCATTTCCAGAGATCATTTTCACACCAGCACACCAGCTATTTATATTCAACACAACTATTCCTTCCAACTCTGGCAAGTCAATGATCCTACCATCCATTTCCAGCTAAAAGCAACAAAAACGCATCACAGACCATGCAACACAACAGACATATAGTTGTATATTCAGGGTGTCAACCCTTTGGTGATTTTTCAGGACTTTCAAGGCCCTTTTTCAGTAAATTCAACGACCTAGAACTGGGAAAAATTTTGAGAATGGCACGGATTTGTCCAGCAAATAAATAGAGAATAATACATGGGTGCGCGGAAATACCAGATTTATTTCGAGTGTTGAACATGATATATCTTGTTCAACACGACAAATAAATCTGGTATTTCCAAGCATCCATGTATTTTTCTGTTTATTATATAAACAAAATTCAGTGAAAAACAATAAAACGTCTGTGGCAATGCGTTTTACAACAAATGATATTTTCACACGTAAAAATATCGTATTTTTTACGTGTGTTTAAATACGATTTTTCTAAGTGGCCAAAAACTCTATATAACACTTATGTTTATATAATACCGGTAATTCACTTTATTCAGTAATTTTACTCAACCTGTGGACAACCTAGGAGTATGAGAGTTGTACAGTGGCAGAAATCTTGGGGGGAGGGGGTGGCTGCCACCCCCCACCTTCACGGAAATTTAGGAGGCTTTGCCCCCCCCCCCCCACCGGAAAAAGTGAATTTCCGCCACTGGAGTTGTATGTTGATCTAGCTCCAAATGATCAAATCTGGTTTACACTATCAAAGTTTCTGTGATCACAGTAGGAATTTTGAATAGATAAAAGTTTGTAAAAGATTTGTAAAGATTTGTTTTAAAAGATTTGTACGAAACTTTCAAGGGAAGTGATCAGTGTTACTGTAGTTCCAATTGAAGTGTTGCTCAAATATTGATTCAATAATCAATACATTACCTCAGGCTGACTAATTCATTTCATCAAGTTCCTCGAAATATTCATACACTAGCTTCCTAGTATAATTGTAAACTTCCTTTTGAATGCACCAATCACCTTTGTTGTTTGTGCAACTAACCAATCATAAATAGAAAGGAAGTGGCCAGAAATGATCAAATACATGGAATTAGCTCTTTCACAGGAAGTGTATGAATATCTCGAGGAACTTGATGAAATGAATTGGTCAGCCTGAGGTAATGTATTGAATCAATATTTGAGCAACACTTCAATTGGAACGACAGTAAACACTGAGTCAGTTTCCTCAAACATTTCTTACAAATCCTTCAAAAAATCCTACTGTGATCACAGAAACTTTGATAGTGTAAACCAGGTTTAACCAATGTAAAAAGTTTGGATGAAAAATGCTGTAGAATCTACCTGAATTTTTTCTTGAAGATTTTTACAATTAGCTTCTAACACTTCATTGACACCATAACCAAAATAAATTGCCTTAAAACAAAATACTTCAAGTCAGTCCCTGAATTTTAAACCCCAATTTTCAACCTCAATTTGACAAAAACTGCAACAACCCCAAGTCATTATTAAAATAGTTAATGGTTCGATCTTGATTGATTATGCTGTTCAAGTGTACCTTATTAAATAAACGACTACTGAATAACGAAGGTTGCTGTTCGCGATGTTTGTGAAATTTTAAGACGACCGTAGCATCACATCCAACAGAAAAATAATTGTTCATCTTAAATATCTAAAATCAAGAAAAAATGTTTAACTATCAAACAGTTTTACAATAAGGTTCCCGAGCCAGGTCTTGAAATAAGTTTCTCAAATTAATAATTCATGAGTAAATTAGCCAATGATAATCACCTATTTGATCACAAGATGCCATTTGGATACTTGATGAAAGTCACTAGTGTTTTCATCAAATATCTTAATTACGCATGCAAAATTACTTGAATAGAATTCCTAATTACGTTATGCTTGGTTAAGAATTATATTCAAATCAGCAAACGAAAACATTCTGTTACGTCTCAATTCATTTGAGAAGCCATATAAACAATTCGAGCTCGTGTCTCACCGGGATATCCAAACACTCGAAAACAATGTATGAAAACACTCGCGCTTCGCGCTCGTGTTTTCATACATTGTTTTCTCGTGTTTGGATATCCCGGTGAAACACTCGCTCTCGTTGTTCATATATTACTTCCCAAAGTTCCCAATCATGGTGATCGGCAATCATGACTTGCTTCTTCAAGTTGGAAACCCTGCTTTTACGCCGATCATATAAGCAATTTCTTGCCAATCACTGATCAGTGATCGGTTGTTCAAGCCGTGTGGGCCTACGTTTTTTATATTTTTTCACTTGCAAGTTGTGGTTGCAGGAAAGGACCAAATTAGTTTGATAGAATTTTACAAACCTTTCGTGGTTTTGGCACATGAAAATATGTGTATCTGTCTATGCTGATCTTCCATCTAAAACAAGATGAGCAAACATTTGAGAAACAAAATGTTGAGAATCTTATCAAAACAAAAATGTCGCTTGGCAAACACAAGGTGCATGATGTTTACTTTCAAAACAAACAAGGTGCATGTAACGTACATCCAGTACTATGATGTACATCCAGTACTATGATGTACATCCAGTGCTATGATGTACATCCAGTACTATGATGTACATCCAGTGCTATGATGTACATCCAGTGTTATGATGTACATCCAGTGCTATGATGTACATCCAGTGCTATGATGTACATCCAGTACTATGATGTACATCCAGTGCTATAATGTACATCCAGTACTATGATGTACATCCAGTACTATGATGCAATAATAATAATAATAATAATAATAATAATAATTACATTTATAATGCGCATATTCCATTTGGGATATGTTCATATGCGCATGACAATTTGATACGTAGAATATAAAATTAGTTAGAACTATTTAGTTAAAATTATTCTTTAACATTAACCTAAATTACAAACTTTATTTACATATAGGATTTCTTAAATAAGTATGTCTTTAAAAGTCTTTTAAAACTGTCTCGCTTTGGAACTCCTTACCTTCATATATAACCTCTCGGATATATGAAGGTAAGGAGTTCCAAAGCGTGGGTGCCGCATAGGCAAATGATCGATCACCTAACGTAGCCAAAGTCTTCACAGAAGGTGGCTCAAGAAGAATTTCTCTGTTCGATCTAATATTATAGTTAGATGGAGACTTACAGGTAAACTACGTAAAGCGTTCCTCTTTTGAGTTTCTAAATTGATTGCAATTTTCCTCATTACTTTTGCAATTTAAAAAACTCCCTTGCAAATCCCTTGAGGAAATTTGCAATGTTGATAAAAGCCAAATAAATTTTCCTCAGTTCCTGTTAGAAGTTCTTAACTTCCTGTTACAAGTTCCTAACTTCCTGTTCTGTTCTGGGCGTTGCAATTGGCTAACAAAAATAATCGACCAATAACAACGCTCAGAACAGAACAGGAAGTTAAGAAATTAAAACAGGAAGTTAGGAAAATTTAAAATGAAGTTTGGAATATTGCAACAGCCGATAGGAACATTGCAAATTCCCTCAAGGGATTTGCAAAGAGTTTTTCAAATTTGCAAAGCCAATGAGGAAAATTCCAAATGAGTTACGAAGTCAAAAGAGGAACGCTTCACGTAGTTTACCTGTAATATTTATTAGTTCAATTAAGTAATCAGGTGCCAGCCCATGCAATGCCTTAAAAACTATTAATAGCAGTTTAAAGTCTATTCTAGACTTTACCGGCAACCAGTGTAGATTCATCGAAGTCGGGGTGATGTGATCAAACCGTGAAGTATTGCTGATCAGTCTAGCTGCGGCATTTTGGACACGCTGGAGCTTGTTAAGATGAATTGTTGGGAGACCATAAAGAAGGCTACTGCAATAGTCCAATCGACTTATCACCAACGAATTGACCAATATTTTCGCAGTATCATAGGTGAGGAATTTTCTTATCCGTCTAATGTTAAAAATGTTAAAAAATTCAGCACTTGAACACTTTCTTATGTTAGTTACCATTTTCATCTGCGAGCAGCGGAACAGATTTCGTTCTGGGGGGGCTAAATTTTTTCGGCGACCTCCCCCCCGTCGCCAAAAAATTTCGGTCAGTGTACCACTTTAGGGGTACAATATACAAAAAAAGGGACAAAAAAATTTTTTTCGGACTTATATCAAAAATTTTTTTCGGAAATACACTTTTTTTAAACAAAATATTGCAAATTTGTCCCCTTATACCTAAATTTTCAAAAAATAACCTAAATTTTTCCCTAATTATCAAAATGTTTTCAAAAAATTCAAATTTTCTGGGGGGGCTAAGCCCCCCACTTTTACTTCTGGGGGGCTTTAGCCCCCCTAGCCCCCCCTGTTCCGCCGCCCCTGTCTGCGAGTCAAACCAGAATCCCAAATTCTTTGCCTTGTCAATCGAGTTGATAGAATTGTCGCCAATTCTCAAAGAATTAAAGTTGACCTTCGCTAGTTGTTGCCGAGTTCCAATGATTAGAAATTCTGTTTTACCATCATTAACCTTTAATTTATCAGAGAGCATCCAATCCTTTATAACATCAATGCAATGTTCTAAGGCAGCAACTGCAGCAAGTTGATCACATGTCGAATCTGGTTTGAACGATACATAGAGTTGTGAATCGTCAGCGAATGCATGAGCATCAGAGGTAGGTGTTTTTCCACAATGCTAAACAGTTTACTAACATATAGTACAAATAGTAGGGGACCCAAACATGATCCCTGAGGGACTCCACATGATACATCAAAAAGTCTAGATCGGCCACCGTTGACTGAAATAAATTGAGAACGTTTACTGAGATAAGAAGTAAACCACTCTAGAACCCGCCCCTTTATTCCAAATTCAAGATTCAGTCTACGAAGCAGGATGTCATGATCAACGGTGTCGAATGCGGAGCTAAGATCTAGCATTACCAATAGAGTAACATGTTGACGGTTCATATTCATCATGATATCGTTTGTTACTCGTAGCAAAGCCGTTTCAGTGCTATGGCATTTACGATATGCCGACTGACCTTTAGGATACAATCTTTGTGTATTCAGAAAATCGTTTGTTTGATTGAAGACCGTACGTTCAGTAAGCTTCGATACGTACGACAGATTGCTAACAGGTCTAAGGTTTTCAAAAGCAGCGCAAGTGTCCAAATTCGATTTCTTAAGTAACGGACAAACATCCGCTACCTTCCATTCAGGAGGAAAAACTCCAGAATCTAATGACATGTTTATCATCCTTGTAAGAACAGGAAGAAGAATATCTTGACACTGTATGACAATCGAAGTCGCCATTGGGTCCAATGAACTAGTTTTCCCATTTGATTTAGTTATCAAATTTTTTACATCTTCTTCACTTAATTGCTCAAATGAATCAAAGCAGGCATTCAATGTAATAGATTCATCGAAGACACGATTGTGCAAGTCTGAAGCTGACAAATCAAGTTCACTTCGAATGTTTTCAATTTTCTGCACGAAAAATTCTCCAATATCATTAGCTAACATAATCTGGTCTTCATAGGCGGGAAAATTAAGATCATTTCTCTGATGAAAGAGAGACTTAGCGGCGTTAAATAGTTTCCGTTGATCTGAACTATGTTCCAGGACAAAATCTGTATAAAATTTTTTCCGAGAACGGTTCATTACAAATATCATATAGTTTTTCTTAGATTTGTAGATTTGAAAATCATGAGGCTGTTTAGTTCTTCTCCATTTTCGTTCAGCTCTTCTTTGCTCTCTTTTTGCAGATTTTACTTCAGTGTTAAACCAAGGTAAATAGGGCCGAGTAACGATCGTTTTAGTTCTTAATGGAGCATGCCTATTTATGGCTGATTTAAGTGTTTCATTATAACACATAGCAAGCTCATTTACATCAAACATATCAGTGTTTTTACAGAGATCAGAGTTAGAAAGGTCAGCTCGCAGAGCGTCCAGATTCATCGCCGAAAGATTCCGATACGAAACTTTTGATTTAGTAAAACGTACCTTACCCATATCAAGTTCGCAGAAGACAGGCATATGATCTGAAAACAAACAAACAGCTCTAGGCACAGAAGAAACTAGATTGTCAGTTTTCCGAGTTATTATTAAATCAAGGGTGTGGCCGCTGGAATGTGTGGGGACTTCAACATGTTGAGTCAGGCTGAAACTCTGCAAAAGTTCCAAGAACTTGATAGCATCATAGTTTTCATTAGAATCGATATGAATATTAAAGTCCTCGACAATAAGAAGAGGATCTGCACTCAGAACTATTGATTCTAGGTATTCTGCGAATTCCACAAAGAATACAGCACTGGTAACCGAGTGGGCTACAGAATATGGTGGTCTGTACACTATAATTAAATTTATTCGCTGTGAACCTGAAGTAACTTTCCATTCCGAGTATTCAAATGATTGACGTTCGCCACCATCAACCTTAGCAGCCTGAAGATTGTTTTTAAAAAGTAACCCAGTACCTCCTCCCTGACGACCAGAACGGGGATTATCAAAAAACTTATAGCCACCAGGGGTACACTGAGTTTTTGATGCAGATTCTCTATCGCTGAACCAAGTTTCAGTTGCTGCAAGAAGGTCTGGTTGATGTTCATAAATAAAATCGTTAAAAATCACAGCTTTATTATTCAAGGATTGTGCATTTAAAACAGTCAAGGTAATACATCCAGTACTATGATGTACATCCAGTGCTATGATGTACATCCAGTATTATGATGTACATCCAGTACCATGATGTACATCCAGTACTATGATGTACATCCAGTGCTATGATGTACATCCAGTGCTATGATGTACATCCAGTGCTATGATGTACAATCCAGTACTATGATGTACATCCAGTACTATGATGTACATCCATGCAGTGCTATGATGTACATCCAGTGCTATGATGTACAATCCAGTACTATGATGTACATCCAGTGCTATGATGTACATCCAGTGCTATGATGTACATCCAGTGCTATGATGTACAATCCAGTACTATGATGTACATCCAGTGCTATGATCACTGAGCTATAATATTACTGGAGGAGGTGCTCCTATCTCTCGTCAGTCAAAAAAGTGTCCGCGAAAACATGGCGGATTTTCACGTTTGCTGACGCCATATGGTTCCTCCGGCTCATGGCAATTACCACTGACCAACCGCGATCCTAAGCATCCGACAAAGACCTTCGCCCCCCTGTTTTTGCACAAATATTTTATGTTTTCAAGACAAAATCATGCCGTTTTTCTCCACTTGTGGATGCAAAAATTCGCTGTAAAGACTTTAAAAGGAAGAATATTTCTTCTGAAAGGTAAGATTTGTGAAAATTTTAAGTTTTTACCTTTTATTCGACAAATTTTCGATTGGCAAAGTCAGGGGCCGATATGCGTATAAAATCGAGGTATAAATATGTATTTGTCAAACACTTATATTTTATATTTACACCAATATTTCTGGAGAGGCATAAAAAACGTTGTACATGGTTATTTATACATTGTGTACATACATTTTCTTTCTAGTTTCAGGCACTGGCTTTTGTTTTTAGTGCCAGTTTATTAGTTTAAAGTCTTTAAACAGCATGCTGCTCATGCAATCTGTAGTTTGCTTTGTTTCATAAAGAGCAGTTAGCACTAGATTTATATACAGTATAAACAAGCTGTATTGTATCCTTCACAAATATTATAAACTGCTAGTCTTGCTAGGTTTTGTATCAGCATTTACCAATTGGCTGTAATTTAGGCTTTTTTTGTGGGGTTGTGCACTACATTTCAGTTCAGCATCGAGCTATCATCGACTTGTGCATACCCAAATTTGCATGATTTATACTTATATCATTCTTGCATTGGCATTACCTTGAATGCTAGTATGGGTCAACCTGACAACCTCTATGCCTCATAAAAATCTCCAAACAAAAAACCTCCTTCACTCAGAAAATACCTCTGTCATGGGAGTCTTGATTTATGTTTAGCCATATTTATTTAGGTCCCTTAGAGGTTAACCCATTGAGTCACATTGCACCCTACTTTATTATTTTACTCTGTCTGATGCCAGATGATTTTACTCATCAAGTAGAGAGTGCTGGTGCTTAATGGGTTAATAACTAGCCTACGTGTCTAGTTATGAGTCGCATTGCACCCTGATGCGCCCTTTACTCTGTCTAACGCAAGATTAATTTACTCTGTCTAACACCAGATAATTTTACTCATCAATTGGGGAGAGCGATTGCGCTTAATGGGTTAATTCAGATTTATACAAGATTAGTGGTGCACAAGAGCTAACAGTTCCAATCCAGCCACAGCTGTAACTTGCAAAGTAGGGGTGGTGGTCTCAGCTAACTGGCCAGAACCTACAGTATGCACCCATTGCAATTAATTTTGAAATGTATATGAAACAGTTTCACACCATAGAATAAAACAATCATAAACAAAGTAACTTTATTTCTCATTTCTATTACAGGCATCAAAGTGATATGTAATTATACAAGAACTGAAGCAAAAATGTTCTTCCTGTAACAGATGTATTGTATCATGATAGTTAACATTGATGTATATGATCTTATTTGGGTGTAACAATGTGTAGTAATACAGTATCTGTAGTAGTAATCTGTTATCGCTACCAAAAGAAAATTGAAAAGAGATAAACATGCCAAACAGCCAAAGTGATGTCACAGCTCATGGGACTACAAAGTGATAATTATACTAGAATAACTTGATTATACAGTTAGTTCAAACTGATTGGGTCATTCAAAGAAATATCCACACCCCTAATGGAAGAGATGGGAGGTTCAGCTTCCTCCCACTTTTGGACACCCTTAGCTAATACTTTTACTATTATCAGCAGTTGAGTTCTGCCCACTTCAGACAGCACTTCAGACATATCTGTGGAGTTAGTGTTTATCTTTTCTGGAATGACTCATTGGTGATTGGTAGTTAATAATTATTCATTGAAGAATTTAAATTAAAATAATACAATTTCAACTGCATCATTGTGGTGGTAAATAATTCTGCAATAAACAAGAATAGATTATATAGGTTACTCTAAAAGAGAAAAAGCATGAAAAATCATATCAAGGGAAAATGAGGAATACAAAAGAAATATACTAGGTTTTCAGACAATGCTCGAACTTTGTTGGCAAGTTGAGTGACCCCTTGAAAATACATTGTTTTTTCAGAATTATATTTATCAAGAAACTATTAGAAGTTACAGAAACCATAATCCTATGTGTATGTACACCAAAAGCTAAAAAAATATGAACAAATATAAAGGCCCCAAGCTCTTCAGCTGAAACGTCGAGGTTTATTTGTCTTAGTCTTAGCTACAGTGGTTGCATCATCCTGCACTAACTAGAACCCCCACCCAAGAACTACAATCATAGTGATTCAAAACTCCTTAAGGTACTCCGACAGCAGAATGAGCTTCCTTGAGTACCTCTAGCTTTTGCATATAAAGTTAGTACAAAATATAAAATACTATAAAGTCTCTTTGTTATTCCCTCAAAATATAGTGGTAAGTACTAGCTGGTAGCACATTATACTGTACTTTCATGTAATCATGTCATTATAAAATCAGTCCCCAGGGTCAAATTAAGATAATTTGATATTTGTAAAATGCACAGTTTCGTGCCACCTACAGAAAATTTTCAAAATAGTATCATGAAATACAAACTGCACAGCAGGCTTATTCAAAACATCATAAAATATGCAACAAATAGAGCATGTAAACAAATAAACAATAGATCAAAATACCATTTTGCACACGATTTAAATGAAACGAAAGTTGATTACTTTGTACAACAAGGCTTTAGAGACCTTTACATACTTGTGGCTAAAATATAATACATTGTACCACAGTTAAACCCAACAATTTTTGTAGAAAATTTGCTCGAGTGTGACTCAGTGTGTGAAGTTATGAACTGAGAAATATTTTACCTGTAGTTGCGACTTCAAATATCGTCTTTGCGGATGTATTTCGAGGTTTTCTGTCTTTTGAGGACGAGAATATAATGTGTACAACTTACACACATTTGAACCAGTGGTCAAAGGTACAAAAAATATGAAAAAAATCAAAACTACGAGAATATACTGCAAATACTTCAACAAGCAAAAATATTTTAATAAGAACCAGGGGGGTGTGAAAGTCGTAGCGGGCTCAAAATTGAGCCTGGTCAGTGGTAATTACCATGAGCCGGAGGAACCATATGGCGTCATTCTGGCGTCAGCAAAGGCCGAAATCCGCCATGTTTTTGCGGACACTTTTTGATGCCGAGCACGTCCTCCAGTAATATAGTATAGCTCAGTGGCTATGATGTACAATCCAGTACTATGATGTACATCCAGTGCTATGATGTACATCCATGCAGTGCTATGATGTACATCCAGTGCTATGATGTACATCCAGTGCTATGATGTACATCCAGTGCTATGATGTACATCCAGTGCTATGATGTACATCCATGCAGTGCTATGATGTACATCCAGTGCTATGATGTACATCCAGTGCTATGATGTACATCCAGTGCTATGATGTACAATCCAGTGCTATGATGTACATCCAGTGCTATGATGTACATCCAGTGCTATGATGTACATCCAGTGCTATGATGTACATCCAGTGCTATGATGTACATCCAGTACTATGATGTACATCCAGTGCTATGATGTACATCCAGTACTATGATGTACATCCAGTACTATGATGTACATCCAGTGCTATGATGTACATCCAGTACTATGATGTACATCCAGTACTATGATGTACATCCAGTGCTATGATGTACATCCAGTACTATGATGTACATCCAGTACTATGATGTACATCCAGTGCTATGATGTACATCCAGTGCTATGATGTACATCCAGTACTATGATGTACATCCAGTGCTATGATGTACATCCAGTACTATGATGTACATCCAGTACTATGATGTACATCCAGTGCTATGATGTACATCCAG